TTTTATTTTATTTTATTATTTTAAGTTCGTTCTTTGTAAATTGATTTCTGGGGATAAAGGGGCAGATAAAATAAGATTAGTCTTCTTTCTGCTCCCTTTCATTCTAGATAGGAGAACGTTTGTATTTAAATTAAATTGTTTCTTTTTATTTTTAAACGAATGAAATAAAGAATAAATAAATAAATAAAAAGCGATCAAAACCTTTTAAAACTGGATAAAAGCGTCAGCTTGCAGGAAATTGCACTCTTGCTCTCTGCTAAAACAGATCAAATAAAGAAAAATAAAACAAAAACCCATACACGGTAAAAGTTTAACTTAAAAGTCAGCAAAATCCTAAAATGCAGCCTTAAAAGTTGTTTAAAACTGATTAAAATGGGTTAAAGAGGTGAGAGAAATGGCTAGGTGCTTCCTTTGGGTAAAACTATGAGGAAGTACTCAATTAATTTCCACTGTTATGCAGATGACACCCAGTTATACTTATCCATGAAGCCAGAAGAAACAAATCAGGTTACCAAATTAGAAGCTTGTCTCAAAGATCTTGAATGACCAATAACTTTCTGATGCTCAACTCAGACAAAACTGTTCTTGTCCTCGGTCCTTAACACTTTAGAAAGGCATTCTCTAAAAACATAACTATGCTAGATGGCATCAGTCTGGCATCCAGTCCCACTGTACGGAATCTGGGAGTTTTATTTGATAAGGGTTCGTCCTTCAGCTCCCACAATAAACAAATCTCTAGGATAGCTTTTTTCCACCTGCACAATATCTCAAAAATTAGACCCATCCTGTCTCAGAGTGACGCAGAAAAACTAGTCCATGCTCTTGTTACCTCTCGGGCTGGATTACTGCAATTCTCTCTTATCAGGCTGCTCTAATAAATCTTGAAGGACTCTACAGCTGGTCCAAAATGCAGCAGGTCGGGTATTGACTAGAATTAGAAGAAGGAAGCACATCTCTCCTGTCTTAGCCTCTCTCCATTGGCTCCCTATTAAATCTAGAATTGAGTTTAAAATCCAAATTACTCTAGAAGTAGTATTAATGGTAGAGCTATTAGCTATCAGGCTCCTCTCCTCTGGAACCATTTACTGTTTGAGGTTTAGGGGGCAGACACCCTCTCAACTTTTAAGAGTAGACTTAAAACATTCCTCTTTGATAAAGCTTATGGTTAGGGCTGATTTGAACCAGCTCTTAGTTATGCTGCTATAAGTTTACCATGCCGGGGTTATCTGGCACACTGAGCTCCTGTCTGTCTCTATCTCTCCTTCAAATCTGTCCCATTTAAGACACTAACCAGATTTCTCTCTCTCTGAGTGTCTCTGAGTCTCTTATGCTCCTCTGGACTAATTCTGCAGACGGTATGCTGTGAAACTGCCTGACCCCAGCTGCATCATCTTTGATAGTCCATTTCAGGCCCTGAGCTCCTCACTTAGGCTCTTCTGGACCATTGCTGCAGCCACATATGTCAGCCTTACTGACATCAATAATATAAAACTAGAGTAAACTGCCATTGAACCTGCCAACTTAAATCACCTTATATTAATTTAACATCGTCCATAGTTATTTCTTTATCCTGTACACTGAAGTCATTTACTCCCATCTAATTACTAACCAGATCTCTCTGTATGTCTGTATGTCTTTTTAGGAGCATGTTTCAGACCATTTGGAGTCAAATAGTCAAAAAAAAAAGAAAGGTCAAAAAACTTTTAGTGTTAGGGTTACGTCGTGGTAACATTGGGGTATTCAGGTTAGGGCTAGGGTTAGGGTTATGGGGTAAGGGTTAAAATCCCAATCCAAGACCTTCTTTAGTAGCATGTTTCAGACTAGTTGGAGTCAATTAGTACCAAAAGAATTAGGAAAACATTTGGTTACATTTGAGTAACGTTGGGGTATTAGGTTTAGGGTGAGGGTGAGGGTTAGGGTAAGGGTTAGGGTTCACTGTCAAGGACCTATTTAGGAGCATAATTCAGACTATTTGGAGTCAATTGGTTAAAAAAAGTTGGAAAATGTCAAACATATTTGTAAGTGTTAGGGTTATGACGGGGTTATGTTGGTATTAGGGTTAGGGTAAGGGTTGGGGGTTAGGATGAAAATGACTGCCCAGGACCTTTTTGGGAGCATGTTTGAGGCCATTTAGAGTGGATAGATAGAGAACATTTTTTAAATGTTTAAATTGTCCTTAGTGTTAGGGTTATGCTATGGGGTGAAGAAGGGTTCGAACCACTGGGTGCACTTTTTTCAAGTTGGTCCCAGAGCTGTGAAACTCTGGCAACCCCTGCAATTTTAAGGAAATTGGGCACTCTGGTGAAGGTCCCAAGCGGATCCAAGTCATTGAAATGACTGCCGAAGACCTATTAGGGACCACGTTTCAGGGCATTTGCAGTGGATAGATGGAGAAAAAAAATTTGTCAAAATGTGGAAGTGTTAGGGTCAAGGTCAGGGTTAGTGTTAGTGGTTAGAGTTAGGGTTAGGATTAGGGTATGGGGTAAAGTAGGGTTTGCACCCCCAGGTGCACTTTTTAGGGTTAGGGTTAGGGTAAGGGTTAGGGTTAGGGATAAGGGTGGGGGTTAGGATTAAAATGACTGCCCAGAACCAATTGGGGAGCACGTTTTAGGATATTTGGAGTGGATGGATGAAAAAAGAATTTGGCTAAATTTGGAAATTTTCCTTGGTGTTAGGGTTAGTGTAAAGGTCCTTACACACCGGGGCCGACGCGAATAAAGAACGCAATATTACAAAATATTCGGATGAGAATTTTGACGATGTGATTTTGTGACTTTCAGGGGGGAAAAAGACACGTCCCGGGTGGAAGCGAGAAGACTGACACAACTCCAGACTGACTGTTTTTCAGTTCTGATTAGACACTAGTGTTGAGATGGCTGTCTGTCATGATAGCATGTACTGAGTTGGGGCCAGTAGCAGATAAGCTCATTAAACTATAAGCCATAGATGTAAGGCAATAACTGAGACCTAACTGTGCTGTGACAGCAATGCGATTGAGTTTGAGACAGTGAAAATACATATGGTATGTTGTGTCTGAAAAGGTTAGCTTACGAGCTTAAGTTACTTAATACAGAAAAAAGTTAAAACAAAGATGTTTAGCAGACTGTTAACGTACACAAACAATCGCCATATGTTGACGTCCGAAATAATCGCGCAATAAAAACGGTCCTGGTGTGAAAGGACCCTAAGGGTAAGGGGTTACGATTAAAATGACTGCCCAGGACCTGTTAAAGTGCACGTTTCAGGCCATTTGGAGTGGATACATAAAGAAAAAAAAATTTGGGAAAATGTGGAAATTTTCTAAGTGTTAGGTTTGTGGTTATGGTTATGGTTAGGGGCTTTGGATTAAAATGACTGCCCAGGACCTATTGGGAAGCAGGTTTCAGGATATTTGTAGTTGATTGATGGAGAAAAAAAATTCTGGAAAAATGTGGAAATTTTCCTTTGTGTTATGGTTAGCCTTAGTGTTAAGGTTATGGTTTGGGGTTTTGGGGTTAGGGTAAAAATCACTGTCCAGGACCTTTTTAGGAGCAGGTTTCAGACCTTTTGGACTTAGTTAGAAAAAAAAAAAAGGAAAGAAGTCATTTTTTTTATTTTTTGGGTGTTAGGGCTTCCTTGGGGAAACACCCAGGTATGGGGTTAAGGGGCTAGGGTTAGGGTTTTGGGGTTAGGTTTATAATCAATTTCCAAGATCTTTTTAGAAACATGTTTCAGACATTTTCGAGTAAATTAGAACAACAACAACAACAAAAAAAAAAACGAAGGAAAAATGACTTTTTTGGGGGGGTGTTAGGGCTTCCTTTACATAAAACCCGGGTATTGGGTTATAGGGCTCGGTTAGGTTTATAGGGTCAGGGTTAAAATCACTGACCAGGACCTTTAAAGGAGCATGTTTCAGACCTTTTGAAGTAAGTTAGAACAAAAAAAAGGAAAAATATCAATTTTATAAATTATTTTTGGGTGTTGGGGCTTCCTTTAGGTAACACCCGGGTATTGGGTTACAGGGATAGGGTTAGGGTTTTGGTGTTAGTGTTAAAATCACTGTCCTAAAGCTTTTTAGGAGGATGTTTCAGACCTTTTGGAGTTAGACCAAAAAAAAAAAAAACAGGGTTTAGGGCTTTCTTTAGGTAACACCCGAGTATTGGGTTACGGGGCTAGGGTTAGGGTTAGGGTTATGGAGTTCGGGTTAAAATCTCTGTCCAGGACCTTTTTAGGAACATGTTTCAAACCTTTTGGAGTTCGTTAGAACAAAAGAAATTAAGACAAAATGTCAGTCTTTTTTGGGGGGTGTCAGGGCTTCCTTTCTGTAACACCTGGGTATTGGGTTACAGTGCTAAGGATATGATTATAGGGTCAGGGTTAAAATCACTGACAAGGACCTTTATAGGAGCATGTTTCAGACCCTTTGGAGAAAGTTAACACAAAAAAAAGGAAAATTGTCAAAAAAAAAATTGGGGGGTGTTAGGGCTTCCTTACGATAACACCCGGGTATTGGGTTACGGGGCTAGGTTTAGGGTTAGGGTTTTGAGGTTAGGGTTAAAATCACTGTCCAAGAACTTTTTAGGAACATGTTTCAAACCTTTTTGGAGTTCGTAAAAAAAAAAAAGAGGAAAAATATCAATTTTTTTTGGGGTGTAAGGGATTCCTTTCAGTAACACCCGGATATTGGGTGACAGGGCTGAGGTTAGGGATATGGAGTTAGGGTTAAAATTACTGTCCAGGAACTTTTTAGGAGCATGTTTCAGACCTTTTGGGGTTCGTTTCGGGGTTGTTAGGGCTTTCTTTAGGTTACCTAAAGAAAGCCCTAGCACCCCCCAAAATTTTTTTTGACAGTTTTATTTTTTTTTTGGTCTTACTAACTCCAAAAGGTCTGAAACATCCTCCTAAAAAGCTTTAGTACAGTGATTTTAACCCGAACTCCATATCCCTAACCTTAGCCCTGTAACCCAATATCCGAGTGTTACTAAAAGGAAGCCCTAACACCAAAACTCCTGGACTCGATGCTGACGCTGGGTGCGGGCCTCCCTGTAAACCCAGCCGAGTTGGACTCCACCATCCCGGCAGCCGCTGCTCCGCAGGCTCCCCCGGCCCTAGCGAGCGCTGCTGCTGCCTCTGGCTCTCCACCTCCCCCCGCGGAGGCTCCTGCTGAGCCAGCTCGTCCTCAACCCGGGGACCCTTGGCTGACTCAGGGTGCAAGGCCAAAGCGAGTGCCGGCTCCCGCACTGGACAGCCTGAAACCCCACTTCGATCTCCAGCTGTCCTCGAGGTACGATGTTCTCAGTGTTGCAGATTTTCCTCCGCTGCCAGGAAGGCCGGATCCGGGCCCAGCTGATGCCGGACGAAGTGCAGCCTCACCTCCGTCTGCAGCTGGGAATGAGGAGGTGAACGGTGAGGAAACGCTACCTAACCCCCGAAGTGGCTGCAAATTTTATTGGGATTTTATAGAGCACTCCTGCCGCAATTTTACCTGCACCATGCGATTTTATTGTGAACCATTTTAACAGTACATTAAAAACTGCATTGGACACAGTAGCTCCACCCGTAATGAAAACTATTAAAACAAAACCCTTACCCCCATGGAGAGAAAATGATGAAATCAGAAACATAAAGAGAAAATGCAGGAGTGCCGAACGCAAATGGAGAAAAACCAAATTAACAGTTCACCTTGAAATACTGCAGGACTCACTCAAAAAATACAATAATGCAGTAAAAAAGGCAAGAACAGCCCACTTTTCAAAACTCATCACAGACCATAAAAACAATTCCAAATTCCTCTTTTCCACAGACTGTGGAAGACTTTGCAGACCACTTCGGGAGTAAAATAGATTATATTAGATCCAGTCTTTTAACTCATCAGAATGTGATTTTTGACACATCTGAACAGCCGATTTTACCTGAGGAAACACTGGAGAGTTTTGCCCTGGTTGACGCAAGGACACCTGGTCGAGTTTTCTCCCAAGTAAACCCAACAACCTGCCTTTTAGATCTGATTCCCACATCATTTTTAAAAACATTTTACGAATTTTTTGAGGAACAGATTTTAACCGTAGTAAATTGCTCTCTTCAGACAGGGGTCTTCCCCACCGCCCTTAAAACGGCGGTGGTGAAGCCCCTTCTGAAGAAGAGAAATTTGGATACTGATGTTCTTAATAATTATTGACCCATATCCAACTTACCGTTTTTAAGTAAAATCTTAGAAAGACTGGTTTTTAACCAAGTAAATTATTTCTTGCAAAGTAATAATATTTTAGAGAAGTATCAATCCGGTTTTAGGATGAACCACAGTACCGAGACAGCCCTTTTAAAGATTTTAAACGATATCAGGTGTAATGCTGATAAACAGAAGCTCGCAGTTCTGGTACTACTGGATCTAAGCGCTGCCTTTGACACAGTAGATCACCAGATTTTATTAAGCAGACTCAGGCACCTGGTGGGCCTCTCCGGTATTGTTTTTAACTGGTTCAGTTCGTATCTCTCGGAACGATCCTTCTTTGTAAGTATGGAAACCTGTTCCTCAAAAACTCATGAAATTAAGTGTGGGGTGCCCCAAGGGTCAATTTTAGGTCCGATACTTTTTAATCTCTATATGCTTCCCCTTGGGGACGTCATCAGGAGACACGGCATCAGCTTCCATAGTTACGCTGACGATACACAGTTGTACATCGCCGTGTCTCCTGAGGACACAGGGCCTATTGATGCCCTTTTTAACTGCATTTTAGATATCAAGTCATGGATGGCAGAGAATTTCCTACAGCTCAACCAGGACAAAACTGAAGTTTTAATTATTGGTCCTGAAGGCAAGAGAGAGAAACTTTTACCGAAACTACAAGATTTTAAACCTGCTCAGTCTGTTAAGAATCTGGGCGTAATTTTTGACTCTCAGCTGAATTTTATTCCACATATCAAGAACATAACAAAGATAGGTTTTTACCATCTTAAGAATATAGCCAGAGTCCGCCTGTTTCTCTCTCAGGCCAACACGGAGGTGCTGATGCATGCTTTTATTTCAAGTGGTTTAGATTATTGTAATGCCCTGCTCTCTGGTCTTCCCAAAAAGACTACTCACATTCGACAACTGCTACAGAATTCTGCAGCACGTGTGCTGACGAGGACCAGAGGGCGGGAGCACATTACACCGGTTTTAAAATCTCTTCATTGGCTCCCCGTGTGTTTCAGGATCGATTTCAAGGTTCTTTTAGTAGTTTTTAAGTGTCTTAACGGTCTTGGCCCATCTTATTTATCTGAACTGCTTTTATCTTATCAACCCTCGCGTACCCTGAGGTCCTCTGGCGCCGGCCTTTTAGTTGTTCCTAGGACAATAACCAAAACTCACAGAGAGGCTGCCTTCAGCCATTATGGCCCAAAGTTATGGAACAGCCTGCCAGAGAACATCAGGACCGCAGAGACTGTTGATGTTTTTAAAAGGAGGCTCAAGACCCACCTTTTTAGTTTAGCTTTTAGCTGATTTAACTGTTTTAGTTTATTTTATCCTTAACTTTTATCACATTTTTATGTCATTTAGATATTTTAACATTATTTTAATTTAGTTTTAGTTTATTTTATCCTTTACTTTAATCACATTTTTATGTCATTTAGATATTTTACCATTATTTTAATTCCTGTACTCTACTATCTCTTAGTCTTTTTAGCTCCAGTGTTTCCTCGTGGGGGCCCTCCACACTGGGAGGTGTGTCTGGTCCGCCCCCCGGGGGCGTGGTCCTTGGGATCGTCCAGGCCCGGACGGTTAGGGGGCTCTGCACTATGTGCGGGGTGCACCCGGGCTGTCTGGGTCGGGGGGTCTCGGGGACGGTGCTTCCTGTTGGGGTGGGCTGTGGCTCCTCTCGGTGTGGACGGCTCCCATAGGTGGTCTTTCCTTACCAGGATCCTCAGTGCCTTGCCATGTTTTTACTGACAGTTAGTGTGTGGGTGTGTGGATACGTGTGTGCATGTATGTGTGTGTGTGGGGGGGCTGCTGTGCATGCCTGTATGTGTTGCTGTGGGTGGGAAAGGATGGGTTTTTTTATTTAATTGCCTTATATTTACCGTTGTTTGTTTTTTACCGTTGTTTGTTTTTATTTTATTGTAAAGCACCTTGTGTTGCAGCTTGCATGAAAGGTGCAATATGAATAAAGTTTGATTGATTGATTGATTGAATACCCGAGTATTACCTAAAGGAAGCCCTAACACCCCGAACATTTTTTTTTCTTTTTTTTGGTCTAACTAACTCCAAAAGGCTGGAAAAAGCTTCCTAAAAAGGTTTTGGACAGTGATTTTTAACCCTAACCCCAAAAACCTTAAACCGTACCCTAGGCCTGTTACCCAATACCCGGGTATTACCTAAAGGAAGCCCTAACACCCCAAAAGATTTTTTTGACATTTTTCAGGGTTTTTTTTTGGTCTAACTAACTCCAAAAGGTCTGAAAAAAGTTCCTAAAAAGGTTTTGAACAGTGATTTTAACCCTAACGCTAAAAACCTTGAACCTTACCCTAGCCCCGAAACCTAATGCCCGGATATTACCTTAAGGAAGCCTTAACACCCCAAAAAAAATTTTTCATTTTACGTTTTTTTTTTTTTGGTCAAACTAACTCCATAAGGTTGGAAAAGGTTCCTCAAAAGGTCTTGGACAGTGATTTTAACCCTAACACCAAAAACCTTAAACCTTACCCTAGCCCTGGAACCCAATACGCGGGTATTTTATAAAGGAAGCCCTGACACCCCAAACATTTTTTTTTTTAATTTTTTTTTTTTTTGGTCTAACTAACTCCAAAAGGTCTGAAACATGTTCCTAAAAAAGTCTTGGACAGTGATTTTTAACCCTAACACCAAAAACCTTAAACCTTACCCTTGCCCTGTAACCCAATACCCGGGTATTACCTAAAGGAAGCCCTAACACCCCAAACATTATTTTTTTCATTTTTCATTTTTTTTTTTGTCTAACTAACTCCAAAAGGTCTGAAACATGTTCCTAAAAAGGTTTAGGACACTGATTTTAACCCTAACACCAAAAACCTTAAACCTTACCCTAGCCCCGTAACCTAATACCCGGGTATAACCTTAAGGAAGCCTTAACACCCCAAACATTTTTTTTTCATTTTTCGTTTATTTTTTGTCTAACCAACTCCAAAAGGTTGGAAAAGAGTTCCTACAAAGGTTTTGGACAGTGATTTTAACCCTTACGCCAAAAACCTTAAACCTTACCCTAGCCCCGTAACCTAATACCCGGGTATTACCTTAAGGAAGCCTTAACACCCCAAACTTTTTTTTTTTCATTTTTCATTTTTTTTTTTGGTCTAACTAACTCCAGAAGGTTGGAAAAGAGTTCGTACAAAGGTTTTGGACAGTGATTTTAACCCTAACGCCAAAAACCTTAAACCTTACCCTAGCCCCGTATACCTAATACCTTTAGGAAGCCTTAACACCCCAAACATTTTTTTTTTCATTTTTCTTTGTTTTTTTGGTCTAACTAACTCCAAAAAATTGAAAAGAGTTCCTACAAAGGTTTTGGACAGTGATTTTAACCCAAATGCCAAAAACCTTAAATCTTACCCTAGCCCCGTAACCTAATTACCGGGTATTACCTTAAGGAAGCCTGAACACCCCAAATAATTTTTTTTTTTTTCATTTTTCGTTATTTTTTGGTCTAACTACAAAAGGTCTGAAACATGTTCCTAAAAAGTTGTTGGACACTGATTTTAACTCTTACGCCAAAAACCTTAAACCTTACCGTAGCCCCATTGCCTAGGAAGCCCGAACACCCCAATTTTTTTTTTTTTCATTTTTCATTTTTTTTGGTCTAACTAACTCCAAAAGGCTGGAAAAGAGTTCCTACAAAGGTTTTGGACAGTGATTTTAACCCTTACGCCAGACCCCTTAAACCTTTCCCTAGCCCCATAATCTAATACCCAGGTATTACCTAAAGGAAGCCCGAAAACACCAAATATTTTTTTTTCATTTTACATTTTTTTTGGTGTAACCAACTCCAAAAGGTGTGAAACATGTTCCTAAAATGGTTTTGGACACTGATTTTAACCCTAACGCCAAAAACCTTTAACCTTACCCTAGCCCCGTAACCTAATACGGGGTTGGGGCTAGTATTACCTTCAGGAAGGCTGAACACCCCAAATATTTTTTTTTCATTTTACATTTTTTTTGGTGTAACCAACTCCAAAAGGTCTGAAACATGTTCCTAAAATGGTTTTGGACAGTGATTTTAACCCTAACACCAAAAACCTTAAACCTTACCCTAGCCCCGTAACCTAATACCCGGGTATAACCTTAAGGAAGCCTTAACACCCCAAACATTTTTTTTTCATTTTTCGTTTTTTTTTTTGTCTAACCAACTCCAAAAGGTTGGAAAAGAGTTCCTACAAAGGTTTTGGACAGTGATTTTAACCCTTACGCCAAAAACCTTAAACCTTACCCTAGCCCCGTAACCTAATACCCGGGTATTACCTTAAGGAAGCCTTAACACCCCAAACTTTTTTTTTTCATTTTTCATTTTTTTTTTTGGTCTAACTAACTCCAGAAGGTTGGAAAAGAGTTCGTACAAAGGTTTTGGACAGTGATTTTAACCCTAACGCCAAAAACCTTAAACCTTACCCTAGCCCCGTATACCTAATACCTTTAGGAAGCCTTAACACCCCAAACATTTTTTTTTTCATTTTTCTTTGTTTTTTTGGTCTAACTAACTCCAAAAAATTGAAAAGAGTTCCTACAAAGGTTTTGGACAGTGATTTTAACCCAAATGCCAAAAACCTTAAATCTTACCCTAGCCCCGTAACCTTATTACCGGGTATTACCTTAAGGAAGCCTGAACACCCCAAATAATTTTTTTTTTTTTCATTTTTCGTTATTTTTTGGTCTAACTACAAAAGGTCTGAAACATGTTCCTAAAAAGTTGTTGGACACTGATTTTAACTCTTACGCCAAAAACCTTAAACCTTACCGTAGCCCCATTGCCTAGGAAGCCCGAACACCCCAATTTTTTTTTTTTTCATTTTTCATTTTTTTTGGTCTAACTAACTCCAAAAGGCTGGAAAAGAGTTCCTACAAAGGTTTTGGACAGTGATTTTAACCCTTACGCCAGACCCCTTAAACCTTTCCCTAGCCCCATAATCTAATACCCAGGTATTACCTTAAGGAAGCCCGAAAACACCAAATATTTTTTTTTCATTTTACATTTTTTTTGGTGTAACCAACTCCAAAAGGTGTGAAACATGTTCCTAAAATGGTTTTGGACACTGATTTTAACCCTAACGCCAAAAACCTTTAACCTTACCCTAGCCCCGTAACCTAATACGGGGTTGGGGCTAGTATTACCTTCAGGAAGGCTGAACACCCCAAATATTTTTTTTTCATTTTACATTTTTTTTGGTGTAACCAACTCCAAAAGGTCTGAAACATGTTCCTAAAATGGTTTTGGACAGTGATTTTAACCCTAACACCAAAAACCTTAAACCTTACCCTAGCCCCGTAACCTAATACCCGGGTATAACCTTAAGGAAGCCTTAACACCCCAAACATTTTTTTTTCATTTTTCGTTTTTTTTTTTGTCTAACCAACTCCAAAAGGTTGGAAAAGAGTTCCTACAAAGGTTTTGGACAGTGATTTTAACCCTTACGCCAAAAACCTTAAACCTTACCCTAGCCCCGTAACCTAATACCCGGGTATTACCTTAAGGAAGCCTTAACACCCCAAACTTTTTTTTTTTCATTTTTCATTTTTTTTTTTGGTCTAACTAACTCCAGAAGGTTGGAAAAGAGTTCGTACAAAGGTTTTGGACAGTGATTTTAACCCTAACGCCAAAAACCTTAAACCTTACCATAGCCCCATAACCCGAACACCCCAAATATTTTTTTTTTTGGTCAAACTAACTCCAAAGGGTATGAAACATGTTCCTAAAAAGGTTTTGGACACTGATTTTAACCCTAAGTCCAAAAACCTTTAACCTTACCCTAGCCCCATAACCTAATACCCGGGTATTACCTTCAGGCAGCCTGAAAACCCCAAATATTTTTTTTTCATTTTTCTTTTTTTTTTTGGTCTTACTAACTCCAAAAGGTTAGAAAAGAGTTCCTACAAAGGTTTTGGACAGTGATTTTAACCCTAACGCCAAAAACCTTAAAACTTACCATAGCCCCAAAACCTAATACCTAGGTATTACCTTCAGGAAGCCCCAACACACCAAATATTTTTTTTTCATGTTACATTTTTTTTTGGTCTAACTTACTCCAAAAGGCCTGAAACTTGTTCCTTAAAAGGTTTTGGACAGTGATTTCAACCCTAACGCCAAAAACTTTAAACCTTTCCCAACCCCGTAACCTAATACCCGGGTATTACCTTAAGGAAGCCTTAACACCCCCCAAATTTCTTTTTTAATTTTTAATTTTTTTTTTTTTGGTCTAGCTAACTCCAAAAGGTTGGAAAAGAGTTCCTACAAAGGTTTTGGACAGTGATTTTAACCCTAACGCCAAAAACCTTTAACCTTTACCTAGCCCTGTAACATAATATATACATAATATTGCTCTACAAACACATAGTCTAAAAGATAGACAGCATAGCATACCAATTGAGCTGAGTCATTAAACTTCCTACTAACACATAATTTTTACACACAGATTGAGCTCGGAGACTCGACTGGGAACATGTGACAGGTTGACATGCGCCGGCCAGTGCAAGCCCTTGATCAGCCTATCCCAAACCGCCAAGTCAACTGACGAAAGCGGGGGCTATCACTGTATCTCTTACTCTTACTCTTACCCACACCTAACCAGCCAGTTGCCTTCGGACAGACTTGTCACAATATCATTCCGAGAATAGTCTGAGCCCATGCTCCTTCTGTGCACACAACCTCTCAGCCCCCCCCCCACACACACACACACACACACTTTTTTCCCCCCCTTTTTTCCCCCCCTTTATAGAATCTAAGATCTTCCAGTATCAAGGGTGAGAGTGAATTCCAAAGAATCCTCCACCTTGGAACCTATACTAACACTACAATCCTCAGATAACTAAACAAAAAACATCTAAACCCTAACAGCAATGACGAAAAGATAAATACTTTTCAAGACAAATTAACTCCTGACCCCACCCTGCCCCCTCCTTTTCTCCCTCTCTCCTGATCTGTACCTCTCTCTCCTATCAGAGGATGAAAACCAGCAGGTGAGGAGAGTCTCAATGGCGAGTCATGGTGGCAAGATCTATTCTCTTTCTATCACTCGAATCCCTGTATGAGTAGAATGGTGCCAGACGGACCACCTGCTCCCACCACAATCCTCCGTGACTTTTTGACTCTATCCACTTTTAGAACTTAAAATAGTAATCAATAATCAACTGACCAACTCAGCTCAAACCAAACCTAAAACTCTGCCTAGAGAACTCTCACTTCCACGTTTACATATCTCTTTGTATCTCGTGAGGACCGTGAGGAGAGCAGAGCCTAGACCTAGTCGGGTCGGGGGACTATGTCCCTTGCTCACTCTCCTCACATGGATGGTGAGAGCTGGGGAGGATGTTTCATCCGCCACCAAATCCCCCTCACCAATCTTTATTTTCCACCATCTCCACCTCTCCCTTAAACCCCCCCTCTCCCTCTTCCCTTTCTCTCTCTCTCTCTCTCTCTCTCTCTCACACACACACACACACACACACTCCCCCCCTCTCTCTCTCCCTCTTTCCCTCTTCCCCCTCTCTCTCACACTCTCTCTCTCTCTCCCTCATCTCTCCCTCATCTCTCTCCCTCATCTCTCCCCCTCTCTCCAACACACCCCCTCTTTCTTATTCCCTCCCCTGCCCCTTTGTTTTCACCTTCACAGAGGACAAATAGGTGATCTTAAGCCTAGGCCTACCCCGGCCGGGGGGTAACCCCTGTTGGGTCACCTATATGGAGGATTAAGAGAGACCTGTAGGGGAACCGCCGTGCCCCCTAAATCCTCCCCCTCAAACATCTTTTTTAACACTCTAAAATTAGCCAGCTAACCCCACTACAAACAACTTCATCAAAAATTTAAATAATAAATACTTATCAATAACTGACCATCAGTGACACCAGACTAAGCTAGCAAAAAAGAACACACACACACAAGTACAGATTTTCCCTTAGGACATTGATCAAAGTTACATTTCTGTCTGTCTTTTAGGGAACTGTTCTCTGTTTTTAAGCTCACTTTTGATTTTTGCTATTTGCTCTTGACACTTCTTTTTTTCCTTTTTTCTTCCCCTTCCCTTTTTGCAATCCACTTTTGTTCTTCTTTTATCTTTTTATTTTTTCATTGTTTTATATTATATTATTTTATTTTATTTTATTTTAAAGTTCCTATGCTCTTGTTTTTCTTCCCCCCTCCCCTCTTTTTTCTTAGGAAGGACTGACTCCTGAGGTTCTCATGTCAGGAAAAATGTACCTCCCTCACTCACGGTTTTACCCACAATCCTTTGCTGCAACGGGGAGATTGATTCCCAAGGCTCTCATGCCAGAAAGGAAGTACCTCACTCACTCACGGTTTTACCCACAATCCTTTGCTGTAACAGAAAGATTGATTCCTTAGGCTCTCATCCCTCAGAACTAAAATACCCACAATCCCTTGCGATTGCATACAAATTTAATGTAGCAAAACTCAATTTAAAACAAATAAACCACTTTAAAATTAACTTAAAACAACTTGAAAGTTTAAAATACAACCAAGAGACATCCATTCTGGAGAACAAACATCGAGAAGAGAACACAACCATGTCTGAGAGGAACAACACAAAGCATGACTCGAGCCCCAATCTGGGGATATCTGCTCCAGTTAAAACCACTTTTAAGTGCTGTGCACTAAAGAGCAATTCCTGTTCCTGTAATTGTGACAAAGCCGTGACCACTGGACCAAGAAGACGCACCGCCGCCTCGAGGAAGACGCCGTACCTCCTTCACTTCTAGCCGCCCACCACCGAGCTTTGACCCGCCGACGGCACCGAGTCCCAGCAAACCTTCCCGTGGACCGCCTATCTTCTTTCCCCCGCCGAGGACCCCGGACTTCAGACACACTGCCGCCGCGGCTGGACAGCTTGAACCTTTTCCCCCTCTAACAGATTTTAGACTACTGGAAAAGAAACGCCTCACATCAACAACAACATAGGACCACTAGGGTAAGTCTACAAAAAACCTCTCAAACACCTCAAAATTACTCTAAATAGTTACAGAATAGCAATTACCAAACTAGCATACAACTAAAACTTCACAGCACCAAAACTAAATAAGACTAAAATAGCTCCAATTGGCTACAGGGCACAACACGGAAGTTGATCGACTCCGTGGGGCCTTCCTTGAATGAGGATATCTAGTGTTAAAATGGCCGAAACATCCGATGATTTCGGGGTTCACTACTGAGGACTTGTCCTGAAATTTAATGTCCAATACCAGCGCTGGGTCAATGTAATGGTTTATTTGAAGAATTTTTCAAACAAATAGGTCTTCTATTTTGAGTGTTGGTTTATCCTGGTGCATGAATAAAGGTCCATAAAACCCGCACCTTTTATGGTTTACTTTAATTTCTACTCTAACATAGCATTTCAGCATTTGTCCATTTACCAAACTCGTATTTCCCACCTCTTGATCCCAGGGTCCAGTTTTTTACAGTTTCCTTTTTTCACCTATTCCTTTTTGCCACTCTCGTATTTCCCACTTTCTAATTTGGTAAACATTGTACATTCCATATTTTATCCCAGTTTTTATTTTTTATTTTTTATTTTTAGTTCTATTTTTATTTTCCTATTAATTTCCCCCTACCTGTATATTGTACCTGTTTTGAACAAATAAAAAATGTTTTGGAACAACTATACACTCAATTTTTATTCCACCTTTTTTTCTCATACTAATTTACTTTATAATTCAATTTTGTGTATTTATATCACCATTTTTTTATTATTTAAATTTGCGATTTAAATATAATACATTTGGTTCCAGTGCAATCAAAATTACAGTGTCCTTTGTTATACAGAAGTCAACACAATTTTCTCTCAGTTTTACTGTAATATCAATTCAATGTTGGGTATAACTTTAACAGTTCCTGTTTGTACTTTTTAACGAAATAAACAGTGTAGAAAGTGATGACACAATTTTATACAACATTCTAATTTACACCCGTAAGCAACAATTTGGGAGCTAACCTTACTTATTAAACTCAAAATTGTTTAACTCATGGATTACAACTTTAGAATAGTCCAATACCTAAATAAACTACAATTCCTACTCACTTTCTAACTCTGAAATAATAATTTACAGTGAACCCTAGGTCCTATATAATCTATATAAAAAAATCTCCACTTAACTCCAAACTTATCCATCTAAAATAATGCAACCTTTTGAAAAGTCGATACTCTGGACCAATAATTCTATTTATTGATCCAAAATTAATAATATAACAAAATTAAATTATGCAATTATTAATGAAATTGACACTTTTGACTCTGAAATAATAATTTCCAAATAATAATTTATAACTAACCTTTAAGATTTATTTTAGATCACAGCATTAGGGCGTTCAGCAGAGTCTATGGCCTAGACAGGCCTGAGTAGAAGGGGTTCCAGACAGAACCATCCACTTTTGACTCTGAATAATACTTTGTAAATAATAATTCATAAATATTTCCAATTTAATATAAAATAATTTTAGGTCACAGCGTTAAGGACTTTAGCAGAGTCTATGGCCTAGACAGGCCTGAGTGGAAGGGGTTCCAGACAGAACCGTCCACTTTTGACTCTGAATAATAATTTATAAATAATAATTCATAAATATTTCTGATTTAATCTAAAATAATTTTAGGTCACAGTGTTAGGGAGTCTAGCAGAGTCTTTGGCCTGTATCTCTTACCCACACCCCCAAAAAAATTTATTTCCTTTTTATTTTCTTTTTTTTGTCTAACTAACTCAAAAAGGTTGGAAAAGAGATCCTACAAAGGTTTTGGACAGTGATTTTAACCCTAACGCCAAAAACCTTTAAACTTTACCTAGCCCTGTAACCTTATATCCGGGTATTACCTAAAGGAAGCCCTACATCCCCCAAAGAATCGTTTTTATTTTTTGTTTTTTTTGGTCTAACTAACTCCAAAAGGTCTGAAACATGTTCCTAAAAAGGTTTTGGACAGTGATTTTAACCCTAACGCCAAAAACCTTTAACCTTTACCTATCCCCATAACCTAATACCTGGGTATTAACAAAAGGAAGCCCTACAACCCCAAATTTTTTTTAATCATTTTACATTTTTTTTAGTCTAACTAACTCAAAAAGGTCTTCAAAATGTTCCGAAAAAATATTGGACAGTGATTTTAACGCTCACGCCAAAAACCTTAAACCTTACGCTAGCCCCATAACCTAATACCTGGGTATTACCTTCAGGAAGCCCGAACACCCGAAATATTTTTTTTTCATTTTACTTTTTTTTTGTCTAACAAACTCCAAAAGGTTGGAAAAGAGTTCCTACAAAGGTTTTGGACAGTGATTTTAACCCTAACGCCAAAAACCTTAACCCTTCCCATAGCCCCATAACCTAATACCCGAGTATTACCTTCAGGAAGCCCTAACACCCCGTATATTTTTTTTTTCATTTTACATTTTTTTTTGGTGTAAACAACTCCAAAAGGTTGGAAAAGAGTTCCTAAAAAGGTTTTGGACAGTGATTTAAACCCTAACGCCAAAAACCTTTGACCTTTACCTTGCCCTGTAACCTAATACCCGGGTATCACCTTCAGGATGCCCTACCGCACCAAATTTTTATTTTCATTTTTTTTTGGTCTAAGTAACTCCAAAAGGTCTGAAACATGTTCCTTAAAAATATTATACAGTGATATTAACCCTAATGCTAAAACCTTTAACGTTACCCTAGCCCCATAACCTAATACTATTAACTTAAGGCATTACCTTAAGGAAGCCTAAACACCCCAAAAAATGTTTAATCATTTTTCTTTTTTTTTTTTTTTTTGTCTAACTGACTCCAAAAGGTTGGAAAAGAGTTCCTACAAAGGTTTTGGACAGTAATTTTAACCCTAATGCCAAAAACCTTAAACCATACCCTAGCCCCCTAACCTAACACCCGGGTTTTACCTTCAGGAAGCCCGAAAACCACAAATATATTTTTTTCATTTTTCTTTTATTTTTTGGTCTAACTAACTCCAAAAGGTCTGACACTTGTTCCTATAAAGGTTTTGGACAGTGATTTTAACCCAGACGCCAAAAACCTTTAACCTGTACCTAGCCCTGCAACCTAATTCCCGGGTATTACCTTAAGGAAACCTTAACACCCCAAACATTTTTTTTTCATTTTTTTTTGGTCTTACTAACTCCAAAAGGTCTGAAACATGTTCCTTAAAAATATTATACAGTGATATTAACCCTAATGCTAAAACCTTTAACGTTACCCTAGCCCCATAACCTAATACTATTACCTTAAGGCATTACCTTAAGGAAGCCTAAACACCCCAAAAAATGTTTAATCATTTTTCTTTTTTTTTTTTTTTTGTCTAACTGACTCCAAAAGGTTGGAAAAGAGTTCCTACAAAGGTTTTGGACAGTGATTTTAACCCTAACGCCAAAAACCTTCAACCTTACCCTAGCCCCATAACCTAATACCCGGGTATTACCTTCAGGAAGCCCGAAAACCCCAAATATTTTTTTTTCATTTTTCTTTTTTTTTTGGTCTAACTAACTCCAAAAGCTTGGAAAATAGTTCCTACAAAGGTTTTGGACACTGATTTTAACCCTAACGCCAAAAACCTTAAACCTTACCATAGCCCCATAACCTAATACCTGGGTATTACCTTCAGGAAGCCCGAACACCCCAAATTTCTTTTTTCATTTTTCATTTTTTTGGTCTAACTAACTCCAAAAGCTTGGAAAATAGTTCCTACAAAGGTTTTGGACACTGATTTTAACCCTAACGCCAAAAACCTTAAACCTTACCATAGCCCCATAACCTAATACCCGGGTATTACCTTCAGGAAGCCCGAACACCCCAAATAATTTTTTTCATTTTACATTTTTTTTTGTTACCAACTCCAAAAGGTCTGAAACAGGTTCCTAAAAAGATTTTGGACAGTGATTTTATCCCTAACGCCAAAAACCTTAAACCGAACCCTAGCCCCAAATCTTAATACCCGGGTATTACCTTCAGGAAGCCCGAAAACGCCAAATAATTTTTTTCATTTTTCTTTTTTTTTTTGGTCTAACTAACTCCAAGAGGTTGGAAAAGAGTTCCTACAAAGGTTTTGGACAGTGATTTTAACCCTAACGCCAAAAACCTTAAACCTTACCATAGCCCCATAACCTATTACCTGGGTATTACCTTCAGGAAGCCCGAACACCCCAAATTTCTTTTTTCATTTTTCATTTTTTTGGTCTAACTAACTCCAAAAGGTCTGAAAAGAGTTCCTACAAAGGTTTTGGACCGTGATTTTAACGCTCACGCCAAAAACCTTAAACCTTCCCCTAGCCCCATAACCTAATCCCCAGGTATTACCTTCAGGAAGCCCGAAAACCCCAAATCTTTTTTTTTATTTTTGCTTTTTTTCTTTGGTCTAACTAACTCCAAAAGGTCTGAAACATGTTCCTAAATAGGTTTTGGACAGTGATTTTAAACCTAACGCCAAAAACCTTTAACCTTTACCTATCCCCATAACCTAATACCTGGGTATTAACAAAAGGAAGCCCTACAACCCCAAATTTTTTTTAATCATTTTACATTTTTTTTAGTCTAACTAACTCAAAAAGGTCTTCAAAATGTTCCGAAAAAATATTGGACAGTGATTTTAACGCTCACGCCAAAAACCTTAAACCTTACGCTAGCCCCATAACCTAATACCTGGGTATTACCTTCAGGAAGCCCGAACACCCGAAATATTTTTTTTTCATTTTACTTTTTTTTGTCTAACAAACTCCAAAAGGTTGGAAAAGAGTTCCTACAAAGGTTTTGGACAGTGATTTTAACCCTAACGCCAAAAACCTTAACCCTTCCCATAGCCCCATAACCTAATACCCGAGTATTACCTTCAGGAAGCCCTAACACCCCGTATATTTTTTTTTTCATTTTACATTTTTTTTTGGTGTAAACAACTCCAAAAGGTTGGAAAAGAGTTCCTAAAAAGGTTTTGGACAGTGATTTAAACCCTAACGCCAAAAACCTTTGACCTTTACCTTGCCCTGTAACCTAATACCCGGGTATCACCTTCAGGATGCCCTACCGCACCAAATTTTTATTTTCATTTTTTTTTGGTCTAAGTAACTCCAAAAGGTCTGAAACATGTTCCTTAAAAATATTATACAGTGATATTAACCCTAATGCTAAAACCTTTAACGTTACCCTAGCCCCATAACCTAATACTATTAACTTAAGGCATTACCTTAAGGAAGCCTAAACACCCCAAAAAATGTTTAATCATTTTTCTTTTTTTTTTTTTTTTTGTCTAACTGACTCCAAAAGGTTGGAAAAGAGTTCCTACAAAGGTTTTGGACAGTAATTTTAACCCTAATGCCAAAAACCTTAAACCATACCCTAGCCCCCTAACCTAACACCCGGGTTTTACCTTCAGGAAGCCCGAAAACCACAAATATATTTTTTTCATTTTTCTTTTATTTTTTGGTCTAACTAACTCCAAAAGGTCTGACACTTGTTCCTATAAAGGTTTTGGACAGTGATTTTAACCCAGACGCCAAAAACCTTTAACCTGTACCTAGCCCTGCAACCTAATTCCCGGGTATTACCTTAAGGAAACCTTAACACCCCAAACATTTTTTTTTCATTTTTTTTTGGTCTTACTAACTCCAAAAGGTCTGAAACATGTTCCTTAAAAATATTATACAGTGATATTAACCCTAATGCTAAAACCTTTAACGTTACCCTAGCCCCATAACCTAATACTATTACCTTAAGGCATTACCTTAAGGAAGCCTAAACACCCCAAAAAATGTTTAATCATTTTTCTTTTTTTTTTTTTTTTTTGTCTAACTGACTCCAAAAGGTTGGAAAAGAGTTCCTACAAAGGTTTTGGACAGTGATTTTAACCCTAACGCCAAAAACCTTAAACCTTACCCTAGCCCCATAACCTAATACCCGGGTATTACCTTCAGGAAGCCCGAAAACCCCAAATATTTTTTTTTCATTTTTCTTTTTTTTTTGGTCTAACTAACTCCAAAAGCTTGGAAAATAGTTCCTACAAAGGTTTTGGACACTGATTTTAACCCTAACGCCAAAAACCTTAAACCTTACCATAGCCCCATAACCTAATACCTGGGTATTACCTTCAGGAAGCCCGAACACCCCAAATTTCTTTTTTCATTTTTCATTTTTTTGGTCTAACTAACTCCAAAAGCTTGGAAAATAGTTCCTACAAAGGTTTTGGACACTGATTTTAACCCTAACGCCAAAAACCTTAAACCTTACCATAGCCCCATAACCTAATACCCGGGTATTACCTTCAGGAAGCCCGAACACCCCAAATAATTTTTTTCATTTTACATTTTTTTTTGTTACCAACTCCAAAAGGTCTGAAACAGGTTCCTAAAAAGATTTTGGACAGTGATTTTATCCCTAACGCCAAAAACCTTAAACCGAACCCTAGCCCCAAATCTTAATACCCGGGTATTACCTTCAGGAAGCCCGAAAACGCCAAATAATTTTTTTCATTTTTCTTTTTTTTTTTGGTCTAACTAACTCCAAGAGGTTGGAAAAGAGTTCCTACAAAGGTTTTGGACAGTGATTTTAACCCTAACGCCAAAAACCTTAAACCTTACCATAGCCCCATAACCTATTACCTGGGTATTACCTTCAGGAAGCCCGAACACCCCAAATTTCTTTTTTCATTTTTCATTTTTTTGGTCTAACTAACTCCAAAAGGTCTGAAAAGAGTTCCTACAAAGGTTTTGGACCGTGATTTTAACGCTCACGCCAAAAACCTTAAACCTTCCCCTAGCCCCATAACCTAATCCCCAGGTATTACCTTCAGGAAGCCCGAAAACCCCAAATCTTTTTTTTTATTTTTGCTTTTTTTCTTTGGTCTAACTAACTCCAAAAGGTCTGAAACATGTTCCTAAATAGGTTTTGGACAGTGATTTTAAACCTAACGCCAAAAACCTTGAACCTTTTCCTAGCCCCACAACCTGATACCCGGGTATTACCTTCAGGAAGCCTGAAAACCCCAAATATTTTTTTTCTTTTTTCTTTTTTTTTTTGGTGACACTAACTCTAAAAGGTTGGAAAAGAGTTCCTACAAAGGTTTTGGACAGTGATTTTAACCCTAACGCCAAAAACCTTAAACCTTACCGTAGCCCCATAACCTAATACCTTAAGGAAGCCCGAAAACCCCAAATAATTTTTTTTTATTTCACTTTTTTTTTGGTGGAACCAAATCCAAAAGGTCTGAAACATGTTCCTAAAAAGTTTTTGGATATTGATTTTAACCCTAATGCCAAAAACCTTAAATCTCACCATAGCCCCATAACCTAATCCCCGGGTATTACCTTCAGGAAGCCCGAACACACAAAATATTTTTTTTTATTTTTGCTTTTTTTTTTTGGTCTAACTAACTCCAAAAGGTCTGAAACATGTTCCTAAATAGGTTTTGGACAGTGATTTTAAACCTAACGCCAAAAACCTTGAACCTTTCCCAAGCCCCACAACCTGATACCCGGGTATTACCTTCAGGAAGCCCGAAAACCCCAAATATTTTTTTTTCATTTTTCTTTTTTTTGGTCTAACTAACTCCAAAAGGTTGGAAAAGAGTTCCTACAAAGGTTTTGGACAGTGATTTTAACCCTAACACCAAAAACCTTAAACCTTACCATAGCCCCATAACCTAATCACCGGGTATTACCTTCAGGAAGCCCGAAAACCCCAAAGATTTTTTTTTATTTTTGCTTTTTTTTTTGGGTCTAACTAACTCCAAAAGGTCTGAAACATGTTCCTAAATAGGTTTTGGACAGTGATTTTAAACCTAACGCCAAAAACCTTGAACCTTTTCCTAGCCTCACAACCTGATACCCGGGTATTACCTTCAGGAAGCCTGAAAACCCCAAATATTTTTTTTTCTTTTTTCTTTTTTTTTTGTGACACTAACTCTAAAAGGTTGGAAAAGAGTTCCTACAAAAGTTTTGGACAGTGATTTTAACCCTCACGCCAAAAACCTTGAACCTTTCCCTAGCCCCATAACCTAATAACCGGGTATTACCTTCAGGAATCCCGAAAACCCCAAATATTATTTTTTATTTTCCTTTTTTTTTTGGTGAAACTATCTCCAAAAGGTTGGAAAAGAGTTCCTACAAAGGTTTTGCACAGTGATTTTAACCCTAACGCCAATAAACTTAAACCTTACCATAGCCCCAAAAACTAATACCCGGGTATTACCTTCAGGAAGCCCGAAAACACCCCAAATATTTTTTTTTCATTTTACATTTTTTTTGGTGTAACCAACTCCAAAAGGTCTGAAACATGTTCCTACAAAGGTTTTGGACAGTGATTTTAACCCTAAATCAAAAAACCTTAAATCTTACCATAGCCCCATAACCTACCTTCAGGAAGCCCGAACACCCCAAAATACATTTTTTTCATTTTTCATTTTTTTTTGGTGTAACCAACTCCAAAAGGTCTGAAACATGTTCCTAAAAAGGTTTTGGACGGTGAATTTAACCATAACGCCAAAAACCTTAAATCTTACCATAGCCCCATAACCTACCTTCAGGAAGCCCGAACACCCCAAATATTTTTTATTTATTTTTCTTTTTTTTTTATGGTGTAACCAACTCCAAAAGGTCTGAAACATGTTCCTAAAAAGGTTTTGGACAGTGATTTTAACCCTAACACCAAAAACCTTAAACCTTACCCTAGCCCCATAAACTAATACCCGGGCTACTGGCTCGGCAGTAGCTCAGGAGGTAGAGCGGTCGTCCAATAACCGGAAGGTTGGCGGTTCGATTCCCCCCTAATCTAAGTCTGTCCGTTGTGTCCTTGGGCAAGACACTTAACCCACCTTGCTCCCAGTGTGTGTCCTCCACTGGTGTATGATTGTGAGTGTTGTGTGGTGGTGGTTGGAGAGGCCGTAGGCGCAGAATGGCAGCCACGTTTCCACCACCACCAAAGTCTGACTGTGTGAGCGAATGAATGATGTATCCAATGTAAAGCGCTTTGAGGGTCTCTGATAAAGCGCTATATGAAATCTGATGCATTATTATTATTATTACCTTCAGGAAGCCCGAAAACCCCAAATATTTTTTTTTCATTTTTTATTATTTTTTGGTCTAATTAACTCCAAAAGGTCTGAAACATATTCCTAAAAAGGTTTCGGACATTGATTTTAACCCTAAAACCAAAAACCTTAAACCTTACCATAGCCCCATAACCTAATAACCGGGTATTACCTTCAGGAAGCCTGAACACCCCAAATATATATTTTTTATTTTTCTTTTTTTTTTGGTCTTAATAACTCCAAAAGGTTAGAAAAGAGTTCCTACAAAGGTTTTGGACAGTGATTTTAACCCTATCGCCAAACAACTTAAACCTTACCCTAGCCCCAAAACCTAATACCCGGGTATTACCTTCAGGAAGCCCGAAAACCCCAAATATTTTTTTTTCATTTTTCATTTTTTTTGGTCTATCTAACTCCAAAAGGTTGGAAAAGAGTTCCTACAAAGGTTTTGGACACTGATTTTAACCCTAGCGCCAAACAGCTTAAACCTTACCATAGCCCCATAACCTAATACCCGGGTATTACCTTCAGGAAGCCCGAACACCCCAAATAATTTTTTTCATTTTACATTTTTTTTTGTTACCAACTCCAAAAGGTCTGAAACAGGTTCCTAAAAAGATTTGGACAGTTATTTTTACCCTAACGCCAAAAAACTTAAACCTTTCCAAGGCCCCAAAACCTAATAACCGGGTATTACCTTCAGGAAGCCCAAAAACCCCAAATAATTTTTTTCATTTTTCTTTTTTTTTTGGTCTAACTAACTCCAAGAGGTTGGAAAAGAGTTCCTACAAAGGTTTTGGACAGTGATTTTAACCCTAACGCCAAAAACCTTAAACCTTACCATAGCCCCATAACCTAATACCTGGGTATTACCTTCAGGAAGCCCGAACACCCAAAATTTCTTTTTTCATTTTTCATTTTTTTGGTCTAACTAACTCCAAAAGGTTGGAAAAGAGTTCCTAAAAAGGTTTTGGACACTGATTTTAACCCTAACGCCAAACAACTTAAACCTTACCCTAGCCCCAAATCCTTATACCCGGGTATTACCTTCAGGAAGCCCGAACACCCCAATTTTTTTTTTTTTTTTTTTTTTTTGGTCTAAGTAACTCCAAAAGCTTGGAAAATAGTTCCTACAAAGGTTTTGGACAGTGATTTTAAACCGAACGCCAAAAACCTTAAACCTTACCCTAGCCCCACAACCTGATACCTTAAGGAAGCCCGAAAACCCCAAATAATTTTTTTTTATTTCACTTTTTTTTTGGGTCTAACTAACTCCAAAAGGTCTGAAACATGTTCCTAAATAGGTTTTGGACAGTGATTTTAAACCTAACGCCAAAAACCTTGAACCTTTTCCTAGCCCCACAACCTGATACCCGGGTATTACCTTCAGGAAGCCTGAAAACCCCAAATTTTTTTTTTCTTTTTTTTTTTTTTGTGACACTAACTCTAAAAGGTTGGAAAAGAGTTCCTACAAAAGTTTTGGACAGTGATTTTAACCCTAACGCCAAAAACCTTAAACCTTACTGTAGCCCCATAACCTAATACCTTAAGGAAGCCCGAAAACCCCAAATAATTTTTTTTTATTTCACTTTTTTTTGGTGGAACCAAATCCAAAAGGTCTGAAACATGTTCCTAAAAAGTTTTTGGACATTGATTTTAACCCTAATGCCAAAAACCTTAAATCTCACCATAGCCCCATAACCTAATCCCCGGGTATTACCTTCAGGAAGCCCGAACACACAAAATATATTTTTTTCATTTTACATTTTTTTTTTGTCTAACTAACTCCAAAAGGTTGGAAAAGAGTTCCTACAAAGGTTTATGACAGTGATATTAACCCTCACGCCAAAAACCTTGAACCTTTCCCTAGCCCCATAACCTAATAACCGGGTATTACCTTCAGGAATCCCGAAAACCCCAAATATTATTTTTTATTTTCCTTTTTTTTTTGGTGAAACTATCTCCAAAAGGTTGGAAAAGAGTTCCTACAAAGGTTTTGCACAGTGATTTTAACCCTAACGCCAATAAACTTAAACCTTACCATAGCCCCATAACCTGCCTTTAGGAAGCCCAAAAAACCCAAAAATATTTTTTTTTTCATTCTTTTTTTTTTTTGGAAGGTGATTTTAACCCTAACGTCAAAAACATTAAACCTTACCCTAGCACCATAACCTAATACCCGGGTATTACGTTCAGGAAGCCCGAAAACTTCAAATATATATATATTTTTTTGGTTCTAACTAACTCCAAAAGGTCTGAAACATGTTCCTAAAAAGGTTTTAGACAGTGATTTTAAACCTAACGCCAAAAACCTTAAACCTTTCCCTAGCCCCATAACCTGAGACCCGGTATTATCTTCAGGAAGCCCGAAAACCCCAAATATTTTTTTTTCATTTTTTTTTTTTTTTTGGTCTAACTAACTCCAAAAGGTTGGAAAAGAGTTCCTACAAAGGTTTTGGACAGTGATTTTAACTCTATCGCCAAACAACTTAAACCTTACCCTAGCCCCAAAACCTGATACCCGGGTATTACCTTCAGGAAGCCCGAAAACCCCAAAATTTTTTTTTCATTTTTCATGTTTTTTTGGGGTCTAACTAACTCCAAAAGGTTGGAAAAAAGTTCCTACAAAGGTTTTGGACAGTGATTTTAACCCTATCGCCAAACTACTTAAGCCTTACCCTAGCCCCAAATCCTTATACCCGGGTATTGTCTTCAGGAAGCCCGAACACCACAAATATATATATTTTTTTTTTGTTCTAACTAACTCCAAAAGGTCTGAAACATGTTCCTAAAAAGGTTTTAGACAGTGATTTTAAACCTAACGCCGAAAACCTTAAACCTTTCCCTAGCCCCATAACCTGAGACCCGGGTATTACCCTCAGGAAGCCCAAACACCCCAAATATATATTTTTTATTTTTCATTTTTATTTGGTCTAACTAACTCCAAAAGGTTGGAAAAGAGTTCCTACAAATGTTTTGGACAGTGATTTTAGCCCTAACGCCAAAAACCTTCAACCTTACCCTAGCCCCACAACCTAATACCTGGGTATTACCTTCAGGAAGCCCGAACAACCCAAATATTTTTTTTTCATTTTTCATGTTTTTTTGGTCTAACAAACTCCAAAAGCTTCGAAAATAGTTCCTACAAAGGTTTTGGACAGTGATTTTAACCCTAACGCCAAAAACCTTCAACCTTACCCTAGCACCATAACCTAATACCCGGGTATTACGTTCAGGAAGCCCGAAAACCCCAAATATATATATATTTTTTTTCATTTTTTTTTTTTGTTCTAACTAACTCCAAAGGTCTGAAACATGTTCCTAAAAAGGTTTTGGACAGTGATTTTAACCCTAACGCCAAAAACCTTAAACCTTACAATAGCCCCATGACCTAATACCCGGGTATTACCTTTAGGAAGCCCAAAAAACCCCAAATATTTTTTTTTTCATTTTTTTTTTTTTCGGTCTAACTAACTCCAAAAGGTTGGAAAAGAGTTCCTACAAAGGTTTTGGAAGGTGATTTTAACCCTAACGTCAAAAACATTAAACCTTACCCTAGCACCATAACCTAATACCCGGGTATTACGTTCAGGAAGCCCGAAAACCCCAAATATATATATTTTTTTTTTTTCATTTTTTTTTTGTTCTAACTAACTCCAAAAGGTCTGAAACATGTTCCTAAAAAGGTTTTAGACAGTGATTTTAAACCTAACGCCAAAAACCTTAAACCTTTCCCTAGCCCCATAACCTGAGACCCGGTATTATGTTCAGGAAGCCCGAAAACCCCAAATATTTTTTTTTTCATTTTTTTTTTTTTTTGGTCTAACTAACTCCAAAAGGTTGGAAAAGAGTTCCTACAAAGGTTTTGGAAGGTGATTTTAACCCTTACGTCAAAAACATTAAACCTTACCCTAGCACCATAACCTAATACCCGGGTATTACGTTCAGGAAGCCCGAAAACCCCAAATATTTTTTTTTCATTTTTCATTTTTTTGGGGTCTAACTAACTCCAAAAGGTTGGAAAAAAGTTCCTACAAAGGTTTTGGACAGTGATTTTAACCCTATCGCCAAACTACTTAAACCTTACCCTAGCCCCAAATCCTTATACCCGGGTATTGTCTTCAGGAAGCCCGAACACCCCAAATATTTTTTTTTCATTTTTCATTTTTTTTTGGTCTTACTAACTACAAAAGGTTGGAAAAGAGTTCCTAAAAAGGTTTTGGACAGTGATTTTAGCCCTAACGCCAAAAACCTTAAACCTTCCCCTAGCCCCATAACCTAATCCCCGGGTATTACCCTCAGGAAGCCCACAAACCCCAAATATATATTTTTTATTTTTCATTTTTATTTGGTCCAACTAATTCCAAAAGGTTGGAAAAGAGTTCCTACAAATGTTTTGGACAGTGATTTTAGCCCTATCGCCAAAAACCTTCAACCTTACCCTAGCCCCACAACCTAATACCTGGGTATTACCTTCAGGAAGCCCGAACAACCCAAATATTTTTTTTTTCATTTTTCATGTTTTTTTTGGTCTAACTAACTCCAAAAGGTTGGAAAAGAGTTCCTACAAATGTTTTGGACAGTGATTAAAACCCTAACGCCAAAAACCTTAAACCAAACCCTAGCCCCAAATCTTAATACCTGGGTATTACCTTCAGGAAGCCCGAACAACCCAAATATTTTTTTTTCATTTTTCATGCTTTTTTGGTCTAACAAACTCCAAAAGCTTCGAAAATAGTTCCTACAAAGGTTTTGGACAGTGATTAAAACCCTAACGTTAAAAACCTTAAACCAAACCCTAGCCCCAAATCTTAATACCCGGGTATCAGCTTCAGGAAGCCCGAACACCCCAATTTTTTTTTTCATTTTTCATTATTTTTTGGTCTTACTAACTCCAAAATGTTGGCAAAGATTTCATACAAAGGTTTTGGACAGTGATTTTAACCCTAACGCCAAAACCTTAAACCTTACCCTAGCCCCAAATCTTAATACCCGGGTATTACCTTCAGGAAGACCAAACACCCCAAATATATTTTTTTTATTTTTCATTTTTTTTGGGTCTAACTAACTCCAAAAGGTCTGAAACATGTTCCTAAAAAGGTTTTGGACACTGATTTTAACCGTTACGCCAAAAACCTTAAACCTTACAATAGCCCCATGACCTAATACCCGGGTATTACCTTTAAGAAGCCCAAAAAACCCCAAATATTTTTTTTTTCATTCTTTTTTTTTTTTTTTTGGTCTAACTAACTCCAAAAGGTTGGAAAAGAGTTCCTACAAAGGTTTTGGAAGGTGATTTTAACCCTTACGTCAAAAACATTAAACCTTACCCTAGCACCATAACCTAATACCTGGGTATTACCTTCAGGAAGACCAAACACCCCAAGTATATATATATTTTTTTTCATTTTTTTTTTTGTTCTAACTAACTCCAAAAGGTCTGAAACATGTTCCTAAAAAGGTTTTAGACAGTGATTTTAAACCTAACTCCAAAAACCTTAAATCTTTCCCTAGCCCCATAACCTGAGACCCGGTATTATCTTCAGGAAGCCCGAAAACCCCAAATATTTTTTTTTTCATTTTTTTTTTTTTTTTGGTCTAACTAACTCCAAAAGGTTGGAAAAGAGTTCCTACAAAGGTTTTGGACAGTGATTTTAACCCAACGCCAAAAACCTTAAACCTTCCCCTAGCCCCAAATCTTAATACCCGGGTATTACCTTCAGGAAGACCAAACACCCCAAATATATATTTTTTATTTTTCATTTTTTTTTGGGTCTAACTAACTCCAAAAGGTCTGAAACATGTTCCTAAAAAGGTTTTGGACAGTGATTTTAACCCTAACGCCAAAAACCTTAAACCTTACCCTTGCCTCATAACCCAATACCCGGATATTACCTTCAGGAAGCCCGAACACCCCAAATATATATATATATTTTTTTTTTTCGTTTTTTTTTTTTGGTCTAACTAACTCCAAAGGTTGGAAAAGAGTTCTTCAAAGGTTTTGGACAGTGATTTTAACCCTGATGCCAAAAATCTTAAACCTTTCCATAGCCCCATAACCTAATACGGGTATTACCTTCAGGAAGCCCGAAAACCCCAAATATTTTTTTTTCATTTTTCGTTTTTTTTTTGGTCTAACTAACTCCAAAAGCTTGGAAAAGAGTTCCTACAAAGGTTTTGGACAGTGATTTTAACCCTAAGGCCAAAACCTTAAACCTTACAATAGCCCCATTACTGAATACCCGGGTATTACCTTCAGGAACCCCGAACACCCCAAATATTTTTTTTTCATTTTACATCTTTTTTTTGGTCTATCTAACTCCAAAAGGTCTGAAACATGTTCCTACAAAGGTTTTGGACAGTTATTTTAACCCTTACGCCAAAAAAACCTTAAACTATACCCTAGCCTCATAACCTAATACCCGGGTATTACCTTTAGGAAGCACGAACACCCCATATATGTATTTTTTTTTCTTTTTTTTTTGGTGTTACCAACTCCAAAAGGTCTGAAACATGTTCCTAAAAAGGTTTTGGACAGTGATTTTAGCCCTAACGCCAAAAACCTTAAACCTTACAATAGCCCCATGACCTAATACCCGGGTATTACCTTTAGGAAGTCCAAAAAACCCCAAATATTTTTTTTTTCATTCTTTTTTTTTTTTTTTGGTCTAACTAACTCCAAAAGGTTGGAAAAGAGTTCCTACAAAGGTTTTGGAAGGTGATTTTAACCCTAACGTCAAAAACACTAAACCTTACCCTAGCACCATAACCTAATACCCGGGTATTACGTTCAGGAAGCCCGAAAACCCCAAATATATATATTTTTTTCTTTTTTTTTTTTGTTCTAACTAACTCCAAAAGGTCTGAAACATGTTCCTAAAAAGGTTTTAGACAGTGATTTTAAACCTAACGCCAAAAACCTTAAACCTTTCCCTAGCCCCAGAACCTTATACCCGGGTATTACCATCAGGAAGCCCGAAAACCCCAAATGTTTTTTTTCATTTTTTTTGGGGTCTAACTAACTCCAAAAGGTTGGAAAAAAGTTCCTACAAAGGTTTTGGACAGTGATTTTAACCCTATCGCCAAACTACTTAAACCTTACCCTAGCCCCAAATCCTTATACCCGGGTATTGTCTTCAGGAAGCCCGAACACCCCAAATATTTTTTTTTCATTTTTCATTTTTTTTTTGGTCTAACTAACTCCAAAAGGTTGGAAAAGAGTTCCTAAAAAGGTTTTGGACAGTGATTTTAACCCTATCCCCAAAAAACTTAAACCCTTCCAAAGCCCCAAAACCAAATACCCGGGTATTACCTTCAGGAAGCCCAAAAACCCCACATATATATTTTTTATTTTTCATTTTTATTTGGTCTAACTAATTCCAAAAGGTTGGAAAAGAGTTCCTACAAATGTTTTGGACAGTGATTTTAGCCCTAACGCCAAAAACCTTCAACCTTACCCTAGCCCCACAACCTAATACCCGGGTATTACCTTCAGGAAGCCCAAACAACCCAAATATTTTTTTTTCATTTTTCATGTTTTTTTGGTCTAACAAACTCCAAAAGCTTAGAAAATAGTTCCTACAAAGGTTTTGGACAGTGATTAAAACCCTAACGTTAAAAACCTTAAACCAAACCCTAGCCCCAAATCTTAATACCCGGGTATCAGCTTCAGGAAGCCCGAACACCCCAAATTTTTTTTTTTCATTTTTCATTATTTTTTGGTCTAACTAACTCCAAAAGGTTGGAAAAGAGTTCCTACAAAGGTTTTGGAGAGTGATTTTAACTCTATCGCCAAACAACTTAAACCTTACCCTAGCCCCAAAACCTTATACCCGGGTATTACCTTCAGGAAGCCCAAAAACCCCAAATATTTTTTTTCATTTTTCATTTTTTTGGGGTCTAACTAACTCCAAAAGGTTGGAAAAAAGTTCCTACAAAGGTTTTGGACAGTGATTTTAACCCTATCGCCAAACTACTTAAACCTTACCCTAGCCCCAAATCCTTATACCCGGGTGTTATCTTCAGGAAGCCCGAACACCCCAAATATTTTTTTTTCATTTTTCCTTTTTTTTTTGGTCTAACTAACTCCAAAAGGTTGGAAAAGAGTTCCTAAAAAGGTTTTGGACAGTGATTTTAACCCTATCCCCAAAAAACTTGAACCTTTCCAAAGCCCCAAAACCAAATACCCGGGTAGTACCTTCAGGAAGCCCGAACACCCCAAATATTTTTTTTCCATTTTTCATGTTTTTTTGGTCTAACAAACTCCAAAAGGTTGGAAAAGAGTTCCTAAAAAGGTTTTGGACAGTGATTTTAACCCAACGCCAAAAACCTTAAACCTTCCCCTAGCCCCATAACCTAATACCCGGGTATTACCCTCAGGAAGCCCAAACACCCCAAATATATATTTTTTATTTTTCATTTTTATTTGGTCTTACTAATTCCAAAAGGATGGAAAAGAGTTCCTACAAATGTTTTGGACAGTGATTTTAGCCCTAACGCCAAAAACCTTCAACCTTACCCTAGCCCCACAACCTAATACCTGGGTATTACCTTCAGGAAGCCCGAACAACCCAAATATTTTTTTTTCATTTTTCATGTTTTTTTGTTCTAACAAACTCCAAAAGGTTAGAAAATAGTTCCTACAAAGGTTTTGGACAGTGATTAAAACCCTAACGTTAAAAACCTTAAACCAAACCCTAGCCCCAAATCTTAATACCCGGGTATCAGCTTCAGGAAGCCCGAACACCCCAAATTTTTTTTTTTCATTTTTCATTATTTTTTGGTCTAACTAACTCCAAAAGTTTGGAAAAGAGTTCCTACAAAGGTTTTGGACAGTGATTTTAACCTAACGCCAAAAACCTTAAACCTTCCCCTAGCCCCATAACCTAATACCCAGGGATTACCCTCAGGAAGCCCAAACAACCCAAATATTTTTTTTTCATTTTTCATGTTTTTTTGGTCTAACAAACTCCAAAAGGTTGGAAGAGTTCCTAAAAAGGTTTTGGACAGTGATTTTAACCCAACGCCAAAAACCTTAAACCTTCCCCTAGCCCCATAACCTAATACCCGGGTATTACCCTCAGGAAGCCCAAACACCCCAAATATATATTTTTTATTTTTCATTTTTATTTGGTCTTACTAATTCCAAAAGGATGGAAAAGAGTTCCTACAAATGTTTTGGACAGTGATTTTAGCCCTAACGCCAAAAACCTTCAACCTTACCCTAGCCCCACAACCTAATACCTGGGTATTACCTTCAGGAAGCCTGAACAACCCAAATATTTTTTTTTCATTTTTCATGTTTTTTTGGTCTAACAAACTCCAAAAGGTTGGAAAAGAGTTCCTAAAAAGGTTTTGGACAGTGATTTTAACCCTAACGCCAAAACCTTAAACCTTACCCTAGCCCCAAATCTTAATACCCGGGTATTACCTTCAGGAAGACCAAACACCCCAAATATATATTTTTTATTTTTCATTTTTTTGGGGTCTA